ACCAACAAACGATCAACGACAGCAATTTCGACGCAGCTTGGCTTTATCGCACGCAGCGGTACGAGGACAAACGAAAAATTGTGGACATACACGCAAATGGTTTGCTCAACCTCAAGGCGATGACAGGTGAAAGCGGAAAACAATTGCGCAACTTGGTGGATGAGTGTAAAGCGTCATGTGGAGGCCCTCAAATTCCTTTAATACGAAGTGGAAGGTGTTTCGGAAGTTTTACTGGAAACACGGAAGCTTTGGGAAGGCAGTATCACGCACGGAGAAATTCCAACTTACGAGGAAACGACTATCTTTCTCGCAAAGCGGTGTCAAATTTTGGAAAGGATTGAATCCAACACGGTTGCTGCAAAACAGAAGCGACCTATCGGTACTACTACTGCGATGAAAGTTTCTCCAATGAAGGTGTCATCTCTAGCGGCATCGGTGGATATCCGGTGCAACTTTTGTGATGAGTCTCATGCGAATCATCAGTGCAGTGAGTTCTTGAAGCTGGGTCCGAACGAGTGTTTTGAGAAAGCAAAGCAAGCGAAAGTTTGCTACAATTGTTTGAGGAAAGGGTATAACACAGCGCGATGCTCTTCTGCTATGTCGTGCAAAGTCTGTAAAAAGTGGCATCATACTACGCTACACATGAATGTAGCTACTTCGAAGGGTGTTTTGAATCCGCAGACGTCTAATCCAGTGCAGAACCCACCACCACAATTCTTCGACGTCCACAATCAGTGCATCTTGTGTTACTCATCATCCGCGAGCGCTACTGTGTACGGCGATTGTGTATATTGTTGGCAATGGTGAAGTGGCACAACCGTGCCGCGTTCTTTTGGATTGTGGTTCACAGGTGAATCTACTCACAGAAAAGCTAGCGGGTTTGCTGCAAGTCAAACGACAGTCGGTGGACGTCAAAGTTATTGGTGTTGATGGTGCTACTACGAGGGTTACTACGATGGTCAACGTCACCATTCAAGCAAGAGGCAGTGGTTATGCGAGTGAAGTTGAGTATCTGGTGATAAACAGGATCACTGGAACTATCCCATCGAGCTGCATCGACATTTCTACCTGGCCGATACCACCTGGTCTGCATTTGGCAGATCCGGGATTTAATCGCCCTCAGCGAGTGGACATGCTCATAGGCATTGGACACCTCTTCGGTCTCCTGAAATCAGGTAATGTCAAGCTTGCTGAAAATTTACCGTTCTTACAAGACACTGTGTTCGGATGGGTGGTCGGAGGACTCGTTGATTCTACAGCCTGGAACTACAAGATGGTCAGTTGCAATGTGGCGTGTCAAGAACCAAACTTGGACAAGCTGATTGAGAAGTTTTGAGAAGCTGAGGAAGTTTCTACAAATACGAAAATGTCGCCGGAAGAGGTGGCATGTGAGGGCTACTATATGCAAACTACTACGAGGGACTCGAGCGGACGATATACTGTGAAGCTACCATTTCGAAGCAATGTGAATCAACTAGGTGACTCGAAGCATCACGCTCTGCAACGGTTCACCTACCTCGAGAAGAAATTGAGCAGAGATGCGGAACTCAAGAAAGCGTATTGTGAATTTGTTGAAGAGTACATTCGGCTTGGTCATTGCCGAGTTCTGAACGAAACGGAAGACACATCGGACGGTTACTTTCTACCGCATCATGCAATACTGAAACCATCGTCATCTACCACGAAGTTTCGCACTGTATTTGATGCATCTGCGAAGTCTACTTCTGGTCTATCCCTCAACGACACGCTTATGGTGGGACCGACCATACAAGATCCTCTCGTTGATATATGCGTACGGTTTCGAATCTATCCCGTCGTTTTTACTGGAGATGTTTCGAAAATGTTCAGGATGATTGCAGTGAGCCTTGAGCATACCAAGTTCCTGCCTGTTTTCTGGAGATCCAACCCTTCCGCTCCGTTGATGATTCTCGAGCTTACTACAGTAACGTACGGGACGGCGTCAGCACCATACTTGGCCACTCGAACATTGAAGCAGTTAGTACAGGACGAAGGACACGCATTTCCAAGGGCAGCCAAAATACTGGAGAACGATTTTTACATCGACGATTTCAGTTTGGAAGAAGCTACGGAGGTAATCACAGAATTAGTGGAGCTACTACGAAAGGGAGGTTTGAACTACACAAGTGGTGCTCGAATTCTCCAGAATTACTAGCATCAATCCCAGAGGATCTTCGTGAAAAGCAGGTGTCATTCGAACAACACGGAGTCAACAATGTGATTCGAACGCCTGGCTTACTTTGGGACCCGTCAAACGATCGATTGAGGTTCCACATAGAGCCAGCTGACCATTCGCAACCGGTAACGAAACGTTTCATTCTCTCTGAGATCGCCAAAATCTTCGATCCAATGGGTCTCTTGGCACCGGTGGTGGTTGTTGCTAAGCTTCTTATTCGGCTGCTGTGGAGGGCAAAGATGTCGTGGGATGAAGAACTACCAACGGAACTGTTGGAGGCATGGAAACGATTTCGTGCTGGTCTGCAAGCATTGACGGATTTGAAGCTCGAACGCCTGGTGGTTTCGCCTCGGAGATGCCTGATGCAACTTTGGGAGCCTTCGGAACGTGTGTTTACCTTCGAAGCATTCATGAAGACAATACGGTGGAAGTCCACTTACTGGTCAGCAAATCTCGGGTAGCATCCAAGGGTACTATTCCTAGACTGGAACTGTGTGGCTTTCAGCTCATGGCAAGGTTGGTTACGCAAGTGGCAACGGCACTCAAGATGGATTTTCGACGAAAGATGATGTGGTCAGATTCACAATTAGTCTTGTGCTGGGTACGAAAGGCTCCACACCTGCTGAGTACCTACGTTGGCAACAGAGTGGCTGAAGTACAAGAACTTACGTCTTCCTACGAATACGGTTATGTTAGGTCGGGCGATAATCCAGCAGACCTAGTGTCACGAGGTCTCGATGCGAAGGCACTAGTTCAGAGTCAAGTTTGGTGGCACGGGCCAGAGTACCTACGGCAAAATCAGTACGGAGAAGAGGTTCCGGAAGAAGTAAAGGATCTACCAGAAATGCGGATTGCGATGTTGGCAAGTTTGTCCATGACCGACATGCTTGTACTTACGAAGTTTAGTTCCTTCAGACAGCTGCAGCGTGTGATGTCTTACGTTATCCGTTTCTACAATAAGGCGAGGAAACTCAGGATGGTAGGTGATGATTCGAAATATGTTACAGTCAAGGAGATGAGATTGGCCCTTAGCGCAATCGTCAGAATGGTTCAACAGCAGCAGTTAAGCGAAGAAATACAGCAGATCGACAAGTGTCAGAAGAACGAACAACAGGGAAGATATGTAGGAAGACTACGAAGCCTGAATCCGTGGATGGTTGAAAATGGAATCTTGCGGGTTAACGGAAGAATCAAGTATGCCAACGTGTGCTACGATCAGAAGCATCCTTCTATCCTTCCTGCTGAGCATCCAGTGACAAAGTTATTGATACAAGCTATTCACAACGAGAACCTTCACGTTGGTCCAAGTGGTACCCTCTCGATTATCAGGCAGCGTTTCTGGATTATCAACGCTATCCGACAACAACTCCGGAAGTGTATAGTGTGTTTCAAGGTCAATCCAGTGGATAGCAAGATCTACATGGGAAACTTACCAAGCTACAGGGTGACCCAGGCACACCTTTTTCAGCGTACGGGGATAGATTTTGCGGGACCTATTTACGTTCGGAAGGGAAACCCAAGGAAGCCAGTCTACGAAAAAGGATACGTGGCATTGTTTATATGCATGGCGACAAAGTGCATCCATATCGAACTTGTGTCAAACCTTACGACAAGTGCCTTCATAGCAGCTCTGCATAGGTTCGTTGGTCGTCGCGGGCTTCCAACCGACATCTTTAGCGACAACGCCACTAATTTTGCCGGCGCAAGCTCAGAACTGCATGAACTTCACGTACTTCTGCGTCAACAACAGACAATCTAAGCCATCGAGGAATTCAGAATGCCACGAGAGATTAATTGGCATTTTATACCTCCACGATCACCACACGTAGGAGGTTTATGGGAGGCTGGTGTTAAATCAGCAAAATACTTCCTAAAGCGCACAGCAGGAGAAGCTAAACTAACCGAAGAAGAGTGGCATACCGTTGCTGGTTCAGATTGAAGGCTTGCTAAACTCACGCCCTCTGATAGCACAGTCTTCCGATCCAAGCGACTACAACGTGATTACACCGGGCCAACGCAATTCCTGAACCAAGCTACGATCACCTCAAACCGGGAACACTCTCTAGATGGCAGCACATTCAGAAAATGCGAACGGATTTTTGGAAGCGTTGGTCAGTTGACTATTTGGCAGAGTTGCAGCAGAGACAGAAGTGGAACAAGCATCATACCGAGGTCAAAGTTGGTGATCTTGTGCTAATAAAGGAGGATAATATCCCACCAGCTCAATGGAAACTTGGAAGGGTGGTCGATACCCATCCAGGTAAGGACAAGTTAACACGAGTGGTATCGGTGCGAACCACGGCAGGAGTGTTCAACCGTTCGACGGCGAAAGTAGCGATACTTCCGTTGGATGATGAAGAGAAACAGCTTGTAGCTGATTGAATTTCCAAGAAATCCAATGGCGGGGGAGAATGTTCCGTCATACCGATGGATTTTGCAACGCGCCACAGATGATGACAGATGCAGTGAAGAAATGTATAACACTGAACTAAATTTATAGTAATTTTTCTTTTGCTCTTTTTTTTTTAAATTCCGTTTTTGATTTCCTTCGTACACATCTCTTTGTACTTTTCTAAAATCATCCAGAATAAACAAAACATTCAAGTACAGTCCACGCGTTTTTACTACGTCTCGACAAAACTGTTTATAAGTATAATTTTATAGAAAGAATATTAGTTGCAAAAGTGCTAGTCTTTTAAATCTTATTAATCAAGTGAACAATTCTAGTCAACAATCGCCAACATTTTCGTTCTGGATAGGTACAGCTGAAATATAAAGGAGATGCGAGAACAAGTGCAATACTTACGGGAAAAATTTGAAAGCTTTGACTTCGAAAACATTTTTGGTGAAGGCTTCTTTAATCTCTTCCTCGGTGACGGTAGCTCTGAAATTGCGAAAGAAACAATGTTAACTTGCTGTAAATGTATTTTTATTACGGTGAATATTGATTCGAACATAGAGGAGGGGGGGACCAAATCCTGAAACCACACTTAATTGAAAGAAACTTTTGTTCTTTCACTTTTCAGCTTCATAACCGCAGCGAAAGTCCACTTCACCTGCCATCGTTGGACTTCGAGAACGATGATGAGTATGACGACGACGGTGTTGCACAAGAGTTGAAAAATCTCATCTATTCTTCCCGGCCACACACACAAACCTTCGCGTTGGACAACTTTTCCAGACACTCTACACCGCACACACTTCAGAGTCCACTTAGACAAAAGCGCGAAGTGGTGAGGGCAGCAACGGTCCTTTTCCTTTAATTACATTATCATAACAATTCCACTTAATGAAACCGACTTTGGGTGGACGATGGCAGACGACGGCAGAAAGCCTTCATGCTTTCGCACCTCGCCTAATGGGTTTTATGAAGAAGAAGAAAAAAGAAGAACGTGGTGACAATTCGACACCTAGCCCGCGGCTACCGTTGCGGCGGGCGTAATTTTGATGAAATATCGATTTAATCTAAAGCGACAATTGAGCAGCTCCACGCCAAATGACGAATCGACTTCGACGCAGACTCTGGTTTGCATGAAATTTTGCGTACGTCAATTTTTAAGTGTCCAAAGTTCTTAACATTTCAAAAGTTTGTAGTTTCACAAGTATTTTTATAAACAAAAATTAAAAATTTTGAACAAGGAACATTTTGAATTATTTCATTTCTTTTTTTTTAATATTTCAGTCAAAATTTGTACAACTTTGCCGATTAGAAATTTATTTAAAAATGTCGAATGCGCCATTTTGCATTTTTTTTGCAAGATTCAAAATGGCCGAATTTTAGCGCAAATGAGAATGATTGCCCTTAACTTAACTTAATCGGAGGAGGTCTAGTCTTAAATTCATTTTTTGTTTGCTATTTGACCTGGAGCTGTGTGGATAAATTTGCTTACCATAACAATCATCATTATTTCGAAATGCCTTTGACGGTAATGAACGGACATTAATGCTAATATTTGACATTATTCTAATATTCAAACCAAAATCCAATGAAAAAGTCATTTCCCGGACAAACCCTTTAATGAGTGCGCTTCTGGCTCGGTCTATTTCCACGCTAAAATGATAATTCCATCATTACTCAACCCTCGGGCTTACACTCGCACCTTTTGTTTGATTGCAACTCACAGTCTCGCATTTGAATTTGCATTCCCCTCGTCCCACTTTCCTTGATATAATTTTTCACATTCAATTCCTCTCTAGAATGTTATTTTATAAAAAAAAAATGCAACCATCATCAGTCACGACGAGGCTTCCCCCCCCCCCCCCCCCCACGCCATCACGCGCATCCTGATGAAATGCACGGCAGTGAATAGTTTTCCATCCTTCCTCGGCGTTGACTGCGTTGTTGTATACAATTCTACTGACAAGTGCGATGCATTTTTCACAGTTAATTAGACGGGGAATGGAATTTCGCGAGTGAAAATATTTTCTCCAATTAATTTGCGATGGGATGGTTGTGCGAAATCAAACGAACAAGGAAAGCGTGGACAATTCCATGACTAATCGCTTTGAAGAATGTTTAAATGCCAACAGTTTTGGGTTTTAAAAAATACCATCATGGTACAATTCCATGCCTAAAGTGCAAGCCAGTTGGAAAAAGGGTGACGAATTCCACACCTGCAAAATGCTGTTTGTATCATCAAAAACTGTCAACGGTGTTGAACAATTCCATTCAATTAAAGAACTGTCCACCTCAGTTCAGAACTAAAATGAACAATTCCCCACCTAGCCTAGCAGTGGGATTGCCCCCTTACAAAGTTCCAAGTACCGTAAACATGTTTTTGTCGTTATCTCAAACTGTAAATCGATTCTGATCATGTTTCGCCTTTTCATCTATAGTACTTCCACAGACACTACTTGAACCCTTTCATTCCAACCCCGCAAAACTTTGTTCCCCGTCTAAAAAGCTACAATAAAATGCCACAGATTACAGCTTTAGCTCTCCGGGTCCGGACCAGGTCGAGCACTAAATTCACTTATTTAATTACAATTATCTTTTATTAGTGTCAACATACGAGACCTGGAGTCTGGCCCCTGCCAAGTGCGCCATCCGACGAACCAAACTATTAATTTTTACAACCCATCCTCCCGTGCTTCTGGCCCAGGGCGGACAAACAAAAGGATTAAAAAGCGGGGGACTTGACATCGTTGCCGGGTGAAATGAGCCGTGTGTCCTTTGGCCCGACGGCGAAGGTGACCACTGAATGGTCGCTTGCTCTCTACATCGAACCACAGTAGAAAAAGAGGGGGGTGGGTGATGATGGTAGATAATTAAAAGTTTACCCTTTCTATATCTGCTCAACACGCGCAAAGAGCCTTATTTTCCCACCGGAAGGAAGGAGGAACCATACCCGTAGTTACAGGATTAGAGCTTAGAACCAAAAAAAAAAAAGTGGATTATATGCAAACTTGGTTCCAAGGACCGGACACTAAATTAAAAGTAAACACTACATCGACATCCAGACTCTAGGTACAGTACTTACGGAATGTTGCTTAAATGCAGTGTGGCAGACGGTGGATAGATGTTCTGGTAGTTTTTGCTGCCGGGCTTCTTGAACCGATGGAGCGGGTTCTGTGCGTAGTCCCGGGTCAGGCCGGCGTCCGGCTGGCCCTCCTTCGGCAACTGCACCGCCTGATGCTTGCTGGCCATTACGCGGATCGTCTTGTTCCAGATGCGGAGCTTGTCCAAATGGGTCATAGCTGAAGGGAGAGGAAAATGGTGGATTAGTAAATTGTGGTTTGTTTGGTTTGATGGTTTTATTTTGCCGCGTTGATGGTATGATAAAAGCATATTGTTTAATAATGGTGAACAATTCCACACCCAGTCTAGATCAGTACTGCTTTGAATGTTCACAAAGCTGTTTTGTTCGACTCCACAAGAAACTAATTCAACTGATTTGGAACAATTCCATACCTATTTTCAGAGTCTAAGGGGCTGTCTATAAGAGAGATTTAAGACAAATTAAAAAAAATGAGCTTGGAACACTCGCCAACCTCTCTATACTATCAACGTCAAATTTGTTCTTAACGACGCACACTTACAACTTTTGCAATAGTAATTTTGAGTTTGACTCCTCCGAATGGTGACCAATTCAACGCTATTTTCAACGCAATGAAAAAAAATTACCACTTTTAAATTAGTTTGAAAATCAGTTGTCATTTGATCTGATGGGGGCCGACTCTATCTAAGATGCAAGAAAATGGTTTGTTTTGTCGTTGTTAGATACACGCACGCCTAGTAAATAGATAGAAGATTGGTGGATATTTTAAAGATTTTCTGCAACAAAGGTGGAGAGTGCGAGTAGATCGATTTAGATCTAAGAGATGCAACAAGATTTTTCGTAGATTGATTTGCTAGTGTGAGATATTTTTACCATCAAAAATTGATGGTTTGGCCTAATGCCATTTGGTCTGATTCGGCCGAAAACTGCTTAATTAAAAATTATTATTTCAAAAAAATAGAAAGTAATATTTAAAAAATATATATATCTTAGTGATAAGCAGGACAAATCTCCTAACAATATTAAAATCTTGTGTTTGCCTCGAAATGAAAATTCGATTTCAACTCCAGCTTCGTAAAACAGAATTTTCCCTGCTGTTGCTTTTGATGGAATCTCGCCAGAAATAGAACAACCAATGATGCAAAAAAGACAACTTCATGATGAATTATAGAACTAAAAATAACTAACTACTCATGTTTAAATGAGTAATTAATCGATCATAGATATAGTATTTCGGTGTCGACACAATCCTTACTGATCAGATTTTTTGAGCTTCAGATTCGATTTTATAACTTTTTAACTTTCCACAAATTTTAATAATTGAAAACCAGTTTATCTGATCACGTCCAAAGCTTCACACGTATCTCAAAAGCCTAAGAAAAATATTTAAAAGAGCTTGGAGCTTGTGTTGGTGATGTATGGGGCACAAGAAAACTTAGGACATAAGACAAATAAGGGCGGCCAAAATCGGAGAATAACTGAAAATCGTTTTGAAAAAAATCCATCGTAAAATTCCATCAAACTTGGGTTCTGAGATCTCTGAAAGAATCTCGTATGAATCGTTCGAAAATTTATGAATTTTTCTCAAGTGTTGAACCAAACGGCTTTTGAACAAATGACCCCTTTGGTCAAACGGCTTCGGGACAAACCTTATTCGAGACTTTAAAATTAGTTTTAAATTCAAGTATGCTTTATTTTGTAATTTGGCATTTGTTTTGAGATGGTAACCAATTCGACACCTTTTAAACCTTAAAAAATTAAAATAAATGAAGAAAATAACCGACTTCAATGAAAGAAACTAAACAAAATTTTGCATTGTACGGCATCGTTTATTTTGTATTTTTATTTTCAATTTGACGATCAATTCGACACCTTTTTGTAACATAAAAATAGCAAAGTGAAGAAAATTACCATGCAAATTTCGTTTCGGATCGTAAAATTCCATCAAGGTTCAAATGATCGGACACCCAAAAATTCAAGACCGTAACATGAGTTTTAAATTCAAGCATCCTTCATTTCGCCATCAAGAAATTGTTTTCAGATGGTGACCGATTCCACACCTATTAAACCTTTAAAAAACGAAATGAAGAAAATAGCCGCCTTCAAGAAGGGAAACTAAGCAAAGTTTTGCATTGTACCGCCTCGTTTATTTTGTAATTCTGTTTTTGTTTCGATTTGACGAACAATTCAACACCTTTTTGTAACATAAAAACTGCAAAGTGCAGTGTGTGTACCAAAAGTGCTTCTGAACGTGTTTCGCAGTTGGGAGTGGTGAAGTTCGTAAATTCGCGGTTTATGTTCAGTGAAAATTCCGTATGACAAAATTGCTCAACGAGTTCCCTTTTTTTTTGCCGTTTGACGACGACGGGCATGCGAGAGAAAAATAAGCATCGGGAATGTGCTCCCGGATGTATTGATTTGGTGAGTTCGTTCCAGTTGAAGATTGTTCTTATCTCGATTGCATTTTCGAGGGGACGTCCGGAGAGCCTTGAGATTTAGGCGTTGTTGCTTTTGCGGGCAGACGAGTTGGTCGCCGGTAAGGTCCAGTAAGTGCTGCCAGCAGATGAATCAAGAGGTATTCGAAACAAAATTGGTAAGAAATGTCCATTCAAATCGTTTTATTATAATTAAACAAATTTCAAAACTATATACGTGCCAGATTTGGAAATAATATTTTTTGAATCTGGAAGTGTGTTTATGATACCATTATCCATTTGATAAAGGTAGAGTGAACATGCGGGGCTTATTGTAAGTAAAAGTGACCTCGGAGTGGTCGTGAATTACCAGGCATTCTGAAATGGGTCACTGGAGCTGCAATAGAGCTAACACCTTCTAACTCCCGGACTAAACCTGCTTTAATTGAAGGGTAATAAAAAGCAGTTTTCTTCCATAATAACACTGCCGGACAGTGGGGGTTAGATTGTACACACACACACACACACACATAAAAACTGCAAAGTGCAGAAAGTTACCATGGAAATTTCGTTTCGGATCGTAAAATTTCACCAAGGTTGAAATGATAGGACACCCAAAATTTGAAGACCTTAAAATTAGTTTTAAATTCAACCATTCTTAATTTTGTAATTCGGAATTTGTTTTGAAATGGTAACCTATGCGACACCTTTTAAACCTTAAAAAATACGAAATAAAGGAAATAGCCGTCTTCAATAGAGGAAACTAAACAAAGTTTTGCATTGTACCGCATCGTTTATTTTGTAATTATTTTTTTGTTTCGATTTGACGACCAATTTGACACCTTTGTGTAAAATTTCGTATCAGATCGTAAAATTCCACCAAGGTTCAAATGATCGGTCGCCCAAAATTTGAAGACCTTAAAATGAGTTTTAAATTCAAGCATCCTTAATTTTGTAATTCGAAATTTGTTTTGAAATGGTAACCAATTCGACACCCTTTTAACCTTAAAAAAATACGAAATTAAGGAAATAGCCGTCTTCAAGAAAGGAAACTAAATAAAGTTTTGCATTGTACCGCATCATTTATTTTGTAATTCTGTCTTTGTTTCGATTTGACGACAAATTCGACACCTTTTTTTAACGTAAAAACAACAAAGTGAAGAAAATTGCCATGCAAATTTCGTTTAGGATCGTAAAATTCCAACAAGGTTCAAATGGTCGGTCACCCAAAATTGGAAGACCTTGAAATGAGTTTTAAATTCAAGCATTCTTAATTTTGTAATTCGGAATTTGTTTTGAAATGGTAACCAATGCGACACCTTTTAAAAATTGAAAAAAAAACGAAATGAAGGAAACGGCTGATTTCAGTAACAGAAACTAAACAAAGTTTTGCATTGTACGGCATCGTTTATTTTGTAGTTCTGTTTTTGTTTCGATTTGACGACCAATTCGACACCTTTTTGTAACATAAAAACTGCAAAGTGAAGAAAATTGCCGTGCAAATTTTGTTTCAGATCGTAAAATTCCATCAAGGTTCAAATGATCGGTCACCCAAAATATCAAGACCTTAAAATGAGTTTTATATTCAAGCATCCTTAATTTTGTAATTCGGAACTTGTTTTGAGATGGTGACCAATTCGACACCCTTTTAACCTTACAAAAATACGAAATTAAGGAAATAGCCGTCTTCAAGAAAGGAAACTAAATAAAGTTTTGCATTGTACCGCATCATTTATTTTGTAATTCTGTCTTAGTTTCGATTTGACGACCAATTCGACACCTTTTTTAACGTAAAAACAACAAAGTGAAGTAAATTGCCATGCAAATTTCGTTTAGGATCGTAAAATTCCAACAAGGTTCAAATGGTCGGTCACCCAAAATTGGAAGACCTTAAAATTAGTTTTAAATTCAACCATTCTTAATTTTGTAATTCGGAATTTGTTTTGAAATGGTAACCAATGCGACACCTTTTAAACCTTAAAAAATACGAAATGAAGGAAACGGCCGATTTCAGTAACAGAAACTAAACAAAGTTTTGCATTGTACCGCATCGTTTATTTTGTAATTATTTTTTGTTTCGATTTGACGACCAATTCGCCACCTTTTTGTAACATTAAAACATCAAAGTAAAGAAAATTTACATGCAAATTTCGATTCGAAAATTCCACCAAGGATTAAATGATCGGTCGCCCAAAATTTGAAGACCTTAAAATGAGTTTTAAATTCAAGCATCCTTAATTTTGTAATTCGAAATTTGTTTTGAAATGGTAACCAATTCGACACCCTTTTAACCTTAAACAAATACGAAATGAAGGAAATGGCCGACTTCAGTAACAGAAACTAAACAAAGTTTTGCATTGTACGGCATCGTTTATTTTGTAATTCTGTCTTAGTTTCGATTTGACGACCAATTCGACACCGTAAAAACAACAAAGTGAAGTAAATTGCCATGCAAATTTCGTTTAGGATCGTAAAATTCCATCAAGGTTCAAATGATCGGTCACCCAAAATTTGAAGACCTTAATATTAGTTTTAAATTCAAGCATCCTTAATTTTGTAATTTGAAATTTGTTTTGATATGGTTACCAATTCGTCACCGTTTAAACCTTATTACAATTAAAAAAGAGTTCTTGGGATATTTCCAAGGGTATTCTGGGGAGATGTTCAATGGAGCTCCGAGGTTTGATATCAAGTGCAATCCAAAGAAAATCCCAAAGTAGGGATTGTGAGATGAATTCTAAGGATAGTAGTTCTCAATTAAAATTAATTTGTAAATGATAAAAGA